TGATAATACTTCGGTCACCTTGGCGGCCAACATATTACCACCATCACCGAGATCGGGATCGTCTTCCCTCGGTGGAGGTACACCGCCGATCTTGGTGTTGGTGTAAACCTCCAGGCCTGCGAAGTTGCGCTGCAGGGCGCGCTTTCCGCGCGCTCCCTCGCCCACCGCGGAGGTGCGAGGGGGTCTCGGGCGGCCGCAGAGAGAGAGAAGGGGGGGGGGGCGGAGGAGGAGGAGCGGGGGGCGAAGGGGGGAGAGCCGCAGCGGGAGAGCCTCTGCGGGGAAACACAGACACAGACACAGACACAGACACAGACACAGACACACACACACAGACACACACACACAGACCCAGAGACACACAGAGACACACAGAGACACACACACAGAGACACACAGAGACACACAGAGAGACACAGAGAGACACAGAGAGCCACAGAGAGACACAGAGAGACACAGAGAGACACAGAGAGACACAGAGAGACACAGAGAGACACAGAGAGACACAGAGAGACACAGAGAGACACAGAGAGACACAGAGAGACACAGAGAGACACAGAGAGACACAGAGAGACACAGAGAGACACAGAGAGACACAGAGAGACACAGAGAGACACAGAGAGACACAGAGAGACACAGAGAGACACAGAGAGACACAGAGAGACACAGAGAGACACAGAGAGACACAGAGAGACACAGAGACACAGAGAGACACAGAGAGACACAGAGAGACACAGAGAGACACAGAGAGACACAGAGAGACACAGAGAGACACAGAGAGACACAGAGAGACACAGAGAGACACAGAGAGACACAGAGAGACACAGAGAGACACAGAGAGACACAGAGAGACACAGAGAGACACAAGACACACACACACACGCACACACACACACAGAGACACCACAGAGACACAGAGACACACAGAGACACAGAGACACAGAGACACAGAGACACAGAGACACAGAGACACAGAGACACAGAGACACAGAGACACAGAGACACAGAGACACAGAGACACAGAGACACACAGAGACACAGAGACACAGAGACACAGAGACACAGAGACACAGAGACACAGAGACACAGAGACACAGAGACACAGAGACACAGAGACACAGAGACACAGAGACACAGAGACACAGAGACACAGAGACACAGAGACACAGAGACACAGAGACACAGAGACACAGAGACACAGAGACACAGAGACACAGAGACACAGAGACACAGAGACACAGAGACACAGAGACACAGAGGCACAGAGGCACAGAGGCACAGAGACACAGAGGAACGGAGCACGGAGGCACGGAGGCACGGAGGCACGGAGGCACGGGACGGCACGGAGGCACGGAGCACGGAGGCACGGCACGGAGGCACGGAGGCACGGAGGCACGGAGGACGAGGGCACGGAGGAACGGAGGCACGGAGGCACAGGGAAGGCACGGAGGCACGGATACACGGAGACACGGAGCACGCGGACACGGAGAACGGAGACACGGAGACACGGAGACACGGAGACACGGATACACGGAGACACGGAGACACGGCGACACGGAGACACGGGAGACACGGAGACACGAGACAAAGGGAGACACGGAGAACGGCAGACACGGAGAACGGAGACACAGAGACACAGAGACACAGTGACACAGAGACACAGTGACACAGAGACACAGAGACACAGAGACACAGAGACACAGAGACACAGAGACACAGAGACACAGAGACACAGAGACACAGAGACACAGAGACACAGAGGACACAGAGGACACAGAGGACACAGAGGACACAGAGGACACAGAGGACACAGAGACACAGAGACACAGAGACACAGAGACACAGAGACACAGAGACACAGAGACACAGAGACACAGAGACACAGAGACACAGAGACACAGAGACACAGAGACACAGAGACACAGAGACACAGAGACACAGAGACACAGAGACACAGAGACACAGAGACACAGAGACACAGAGACACAGAGACACAGAGACACAGAGACACAGAGACACAGAGACACAGAGACACAGACACAGAGACACAGAGACACAGAGACACAGAGACACAGAGACACAGAGACACAGAGACACAGAGACACAGAGACACAGACACAGAGACACAGAGACACAGAGACACGGAGACACGGAGACACGGAGACACGGAGACACGGAGACACGGAGACACGGAGACACGGAGACACGGAGACACAGAGACACAGAGACACAGAGACACAGAGACACAGAGACACGGAGACACAGAGACACAGAGACACAGAGACACGGAGACACAGAGACACAGAGACACAGAGACACAGAGACACAGAGACACAGAGACACACAGAGACACACAGAGACACAGAGACACAGAGACACAGAGACACAGCGACACAGCGACACAGAGACACAGAGACACAGAGACACAGAGACACAGAGACACAGAGACACAGAGACACAGAGACACAGAGACAGAGACACAGAGACACAGAGACACAGAGACACAGAGACACAGAGACACAGAGACACAGAGACACAGAGACACAGAGACACAGAGACACAGAGACACAGAGACACAGAGACACAGAGACACAGAGACACAGAGACACAGAGACACAGAGACACAGAGACAGAGACACACAGAGACACACAGAGACACACAGAGACACACAGAGACACACAGAGACACACAGAGACACACAGGGACACACAGAGACACACAGAGACACACAGAGACACACAGAGACACACAGAGACACACAGAGACACAGAGAGACACAGAGAGACACAGACAGACACAGAGAGACACAGAGAGACACAGAGAGACACAGAGAGAGAGAGACACAGAGAGAGACACAGAGAGACACAGAGAGACACAGAGAGACACAGAGAGACACAGAGAGACACAGAGAGACACAGAGAGACACAGAGAGACACAGAGAGACACAGAGAGACACAGAGAGACACAGAGAGACACACAGAGAGACACAGAGAGACACAGAGAGACACAGAGAGACACAGAGAGACACAGAGAGACACAGAGAGACACAGAGAGACACAGAGAGACACAGAGAGACACAGAGAGACACAGAGAGACACAGAGAGACACAGAGACACAGAGAGACACAGAGAGACACAGAGAGACACAGAGAGACACAGAGAGACACAGAGAGACACAGAGAGACACAGAGAGCACAGAGAGACACAGAGAGACACAGAGAGACACAGAGAGACACAGAGAGACACAGAGAGACACAGAGAGACACAGAGAGACACAGAGAGACACAGAGAGACACAGAGAGACACAGAGAGACACAGAGAGACACAGAGGACACAGAGAGACACAGAGAGACACAGAGAGACACAGAGAGACACAGAGAGACACAGAGAGACACAGAGAGACACAGAGAGACACAGAGAGACACAGAGAGACACAGAGAGACACAGAGAGACACAGAGAGACACAGAGAGACACAGAGAGACACAGAGAGACACAGAGAGACACAGAGAGACACAGAGAGACACAGAGAGACACAGAGAGACACAGAGAGACACAGAGAGACACAGAGAGACACAGAGAGACACAGAGAGACACAGAGAGACACAGAGAGACACAGAGAGACACAGAGAGACACAGAGAGACACAGAGAGACACAGAGAGACACAGAGAGACACAGAGAGACACAGAGAGACACAGAGAGACACAGAGAGACACAGAGAGACACAGAGAGACACAGAGAGACACAGAGAGACACAGAGACACAGAGAGACACAGAGACACAGAGACACAGAGACACAGAGACACAGAGACACAGAGACACAGAGACACAGAGACACAGAGACACAGAGACACACAGAGACACAGAGACACAGAGACACAGAGACACAGAGACACAGAGACACAGAGACACAGAGACACAGAGACAGACACAGAGACACACAGAGACAGAGACAGAGACAGAGACACAGAGACACAGAGACACAGAGACACAGAGACACAGAGACACAGAGACACAGAGACACAGAGACACAGAGACACAGAGACACAGAGACACAGAGACACAGAGACACAGAGACAGACACAGAGACACAGAGACACAGAGACACAGAGACACAGACAGAGAGACAGAGAGACAGAGAGACAGAGAGACAGAGAGACAGAGAGACAGAGAGACAGAGAGACAGAGAGACAGAGAGACAGAGAGACAGAGAGACAGAGAGACAGAGAGACAGAGAGACAGAGAGACAGAGAGACAGAGAGACAGAGAGACAGAGAGACAGAGAGACAGAGAGACAGAGAGACAGAGAGACAGAGAGACAGAGAGACAGAGAGACAGAGAGACAGAGAGACAGAGAGACAGAGAGACAGAGAGACAGAGAGACAGAGAGACAGAGAGACAGAGAGACAGAGAGACAGAGAGACAGAGAGACAGAGAGACAGAGAGACAGAGAGACAGAGAGACAGAGAGACAGAGAGACAGAGAGACAGAGAGACAGAGAGACAGAGAGACAGAGAGACAGAGAGACAGAGACAGAGAGACAGAGAGACAGAGAGACAGAGAGACAGAGAGACAGAGAGACAGAGAGACAGAGAGACAGACAGACAGACAGACAGACAGACAGACACAGACAGACACAGACAGACACAGACAGACACAGACAGACACAGACAGACACAGACACACACACACACACACACACATACACACACACACTGTGTGGGAAAAACAACACTCACACACCGTGGGGGGGGAAAAAAAAAACCACCGTGTGCGCTTTTGCTCCCACCGTGTGTGTGTGTGTGTGTTTTTCCCACAGTGTGTGTGTGTGTTTTTTATGGGTTTTTTTTCGTTGTTCTTTTCTGTCCGACACCACGCCGACGCCTACGGAACGACAGCGGCGGAGACGACGCACGCCGCGCGCGCAGGGCGCGGCGCCTTCCGGCCGACGGGGCGTGCCCCTAGAAGGCGCCGTCCTGGTCCGGGCCCCAGCGGGGCGTGCACCTCCCGCCGCGCCCGCGCCCCCCCCCCCCGCTGTGCGCGGGTGCAGCGGCAGCCCTGGAGGACAGGGCACCGGGTCAGATCCTCGCGCCCCTCCTCCGCTCCCACGCCTTCCACCGCCCCCTCTTCTTCCTCCTCCTCTTCACAGTATCCCCCTCCTCCTCCTCCTCCTCCTCCACCTCCTCCTCTTCCTACTCCTCTTCACCTTATCCTCCTCCTCCTCCTCCTCCTTCTCCTCCTCCTCCTCCTCCACCATGCCTTGATTTTGTAAAATAACTCCTCCCTGTCACACCCCGATGCCCTTCGAAAGGGCGGGCCTGGCGCTTCGTCTGCGAATTCTTCACCATTGCGACTCTGAAGCTTGGAAGTTGGCAATAGTTTCACTGATTCAGGGCGGGTGGCTTTCAAGATGTGGCTCTCGCCGTGGCGCCGCACATTCGTTTTTAACTATTTGTCACTGTGCCGACCTTGCAGACGTCCTGCATCGGATTTTTGCATGGATTCCCGAAACGACGAGCGAAACATGAAAATAATGTCGCGTCTTTCTAAATCGTCATTCCTGGCCCAAAGAAATCCGCGCGGAATTCATCTCGAAATCTAGAGTTAAGTTCTCCAGAACACTCCAGGCCCATCCGACCGCTTTCCGAACAACATCCGCTCTGCGATGTTGGCACCATGACATTCGCAAGAGTTTCACGGATTGAGGGCGGGCCATTTTCAAAATTTGGCTCTCGCCTCAGCGCCGCGCACATTCGATTACACATAATGCGAGAATATCACATATTGAGGGCGTCCCGTGTTTAACATGTGGCTCTCGCCTGAACGCCGCGCGCATTTGTCTTACACATGCGCAAGAGCTGCACGGATTGAGGACGGCCCATTTTCAAAATGTGGCTACCGTCTCGGCGCCGCGCACACTCGTCTTAAACAATTGCAAGCGTTTCACGGATTGAAAACGATTCCTCGTGTGTTGATCCTGGACAGGATTGGGGCCACTCCCCCGGAGTGCCAGCGGCATATCGATACCTGATCTTTCTGGGGATCTGCGGTGCACTGGGCCGTGCGGTAGAATCGAATCCCCCATCGTAGACGTATTGGAACTGAGAGTAGAAGTAAGTGAAAGAGATAAGTAAGAGTAAGGAAAGCAAGAAGATGACACGTGTTTTACGTCAGCGCTGTCGGGTTTCTGTTTCGCTCGCGCTCTTCGCCTTGTGGCGGAGAGCACTTGAGCCACAGCAGTGGCGGGGGAAAAAACGCGACATGCGATCACGGATGCTACAACCCGCTGCACTGCTGCCAATCTTCCCTGCTAGTGCTACTGCTGCTACTGCTACTGCTACACACCACAGGTTATCCCACTTAATGGGATTGTCGGTGCTAGAGGGGCCAGGGGAGAGAAGAAAGAGAGAGAGAGAGAAAGAGAGAGAGAACATTGCTACCCTGTCGTCTGACAGGGGGGGCACGATTTGTCCGCCCCAGTGCGTCCTCATAAGCACTGGGCAACTTGGGCCCGAACGGGACTCTCACCAAACAGGGATGGCCTCCGAACGTGCACATGCGCGCGCTAGATTAACAAATCCTCTGGTGTGCAAAATGACACAACTCACGTGTGGCGAATTATCGTGGTACAAACTCCCCCTGCACAGTGGCGCAAGGAACGGCGCTGGGCATTCAGTACCACTGGCGGTCACGCTGGTTCACACGAGGCTTCCCTCCACGCCGGCCCCGCTTCTTGGAAGGGAGGTCCTGGCGGGGAACATCTTCGTTCAGCTCCGCATCAGCGCTGTGTAGTACTGCTGCCGCCGTCGTCGCCGAGGTCGCATTGCCTGCCATTGCGGCGCGAAGATTCTTCAACACGTCTGCACTGGCGAGCTTCGTCAGACCGTCAGCGATCATCTCCTTAGTGGGAGCGTGTGACAATCGCAAACGTTTTCGTTCCATCTCTTCTTTGAGACGTGCTCCCCGTGCTCCGAAGTACCTCGTTCGCCAATTGCTGCCCTGATCTGCGATCGACATCGCCGCAGCGTTATCCACGAGAATCTGAACGCACGGGAGCTCAACGCCCCACTCTTCCAAGAGGGCCCGGAGTCCCTCCGCCACCTGCCACGTAAGAGCGGCGGCTCCCAGCTCAGCTTCTGCAGTGCTGAAGCTGGACACCGTCTGCCTGCTTGACCTCCACGGTGCAGCAGAACCGCCCCAAACCAAGATCATCCCCGTCTGGGCCTTGGTGCCTGGGCCTCCGTAGCCGGCATCGCTCCAAGCCTTCAAATCATTGATGTCGCCGGTGCTCCTTAAGATGAAAACGCGGTGCTTGGTTTCTTGGATATATCTGAGAATTTTCTTGGCAAGCTGTTGAGACCAACTGTTGTACTTCGAAAGCGTGCTCGCCAGCAAGCTCACAAAATATGCAAGATCTGGCCTCGTTCTGGTAGCCAGCCAGTTGAATTCTCCCGCAAGTTGTTGTAATTTCGTGAGGTCGGGCGCTGATGGCGGGTCCTCTGTCTCTGGGAGGTGGCCCATACTGACGGCAGTGAGACCATGGGCCGAAGACATGCCATGTTTTGCAATATTTTGTCTACGAGCTCCTCCTGCCCAACCTCGATGCCGTCAGGCGTCCTACGCATATGCGTCCCAAGAAAATTCAGCTCTTCACCAAAGTGGGTCCCGATCCCACTCGCCCCTGGGCGGGTTCCGATCCCGCCGGGGACATTCAACGTTTTTTCTTTTCCCGTCTTCCATGTCTGCTTGATCTGACCCAAGAGGCCGTCTCTGACCTCCCCAGGCTCGGCCAAAATCATGAAGTCGTCGACGTACACAACAACCAGACCTAGAGTACGACCCTCCGCGCCTTCTTGCACGAGACGCCATACCTGCGAATCAGAACAACACTGAATCAGCTTGTGGGTATTCCCGTTCACCGTCCACGAAAACTGCCTCAAGGTCTGGCCCCGGTAACTGCCCCACGCGCGAGGGGCGATCTTGAGACCATAGGCTGCTTTGTGCAGCGTCCACGACTCCCCCGGGCGCGCAATGCCAATTTCTACAAATTCTTTTGGGGGGCGTACCACCACGAGCGAGCCCTCGGGGAGAGGCGCATACATAAAAGCTCCGCTGATGTCGATCGTCCCGATGTCCCAATTTTTCGATAATGCCAACTTCAAGGCAGATGTCAAGGACGAAATCTCAGCTTGTGCCGTCCAGAGCTTCTGGGGCGGATCTGTTTTCTCGAAGTTACCGCACACCACCGCTCTGGCTTTTCGTTTGCCGTTCGATATGCCGTAAACCAGCTGCATGGGCAAAGGGTGAGGGTACTTCCTGCGCTCCTCCTCTGTGGTAATGGTGTACGTGTTTTGATGCTGGTAGTTCTTGACGTACTCCTCCTCCATAGCTACCCTCCATGCTTCCTGATCTTTCCCCTTTGACGCCCTCACCTCCTTAGCAGACACTTTCCTAGTCTCTGGGTCGTTTTCCCACGTCTGGTCGGACTCGCGCTGGAGGTCGTGCACCAGGTCCGACGCGATCTCCGTGTACTCCCCCGTGCTGCTCAATAGTCCTGCCATTGCTCGGCGAGCCGCTGCCTGCAGTCCTCGTCGCCGTTCCCTGGCATCCCACGCATGAGAGCACTTTTTGCTCCTCTTCCGAACTTCACGTCGGATCTTCCTCCTGGTCGCCCTCCTGATCGCACGTCCTCCTCCTTCGACCTCATATGCGCTGTGGTCCTCGGATGCTGGATCGTCAGCTCGGTTTTCCGAGTGGTGTGCTCCTCGATTGTTTTCCTCATTCGCCTCCTCCTCCTCTTCGTCGTCACCATTTCTCTCGTTCCCTACCTCGTACTCGTTGTCATCAAAATCTGAACTCTCGCCCACGAGATCTGAGGCAGGCGGCGGCGAAGAATCCACGTAGGTATCAGTTTCCCATGTGCCTCCGGTGCCTCCCACGCTTGATACGTCCTGGGACACGTCCGAAAGCGTCAACGCAGCATGGGGATAGATCTTCAGCGCGTCGCAAACGTCGCCTGTAGCTGCTGCCGCACGGTCTCCACCGTCCTCTCTAGGAAGCTGCGCGCCCTCGGGAATGCAGTTCAGCTCCTCCAACACCTCCTCCACACGTCGACGCACGGGTGCCGGCTTCTCCTCGGGAGTGGGATCCTCAGCCATGGGGGCCACGTCCTCCTCCTCCTCCTCCAGAATCCTGGCAGCAGGCATCGGGGGTCTCAGTGCCTGGACGCACTCCCCCCAAACCTTACTATGCTGAATCGTCACCCGTCTCTTCCGCCACTTCTGCACGCAAGCTGGGCAAGTGGCCTGCTCGAGCGTCACGCCGGCGGTGTGAGGAGGCTCCTCAATCGCAGCAGCGTCGTACAACGCAGCGATTGGAGGAGGCAGCGGTGCGACTGGAGCTTCGTAATCTTCCATTGATGCTTGAACGAATCGGAGCTCGTCCTCGGAAAGCCCAGCCACTTGAACATTAACCTTCGCCTTAACGTGTCCTCCCTGATAGATCCAATAACCACCTGGTATGGTGTCACATGGCCCAAACAACGTCCCAGGGAGGGAACGTGGCATGAACGCATTGCGAGGCTTGGGATCTATGTTGCACATGATACGTGTTCCAAACGGTATGGCAGGATACGCCTCTACACTCGCGCTTGCTCGATAAAGTTGTGCTGCTGCTAATGTGGCAACTCCCCACCATCTCGTCGGCAGCCTCTGCAGAGAGAGGAGGTACCGACCACGAGCCTTGAGCATGCCCACGGCGCTCTCCGCCGTGCCGTTCGACGACGGGTCGTAACCCTGGGTTGTGGTATGGTGGATGCTGTGGAACTTCAGGTAATCATCCAACTCCTCGTTGATGAATTCCAGGCCCTTGTCGGAGTGCAGCCTGAATATGAGTCCCTGTGGTAAGCCACCGTGCTCGCTCCGCATCTGGGCCGGTAGGCCCATTATTGCTCTCGGTGCCTCGCCCTTCTTCTCAAGGAGCGCTGTGTACAAAATGGGCCTCTG